AAATAAACAATATTTTCTCATCACTTTGAAAAAAAATATAATAAGAGAAGATTACACACTGTAATGTTGACAACAATCACCGTTACTGTTCACAACCCCATCCATCACACACACACACACACATACACACTCTCTAAAATTAAAACTTTTAAACATTATATTAATTTGCTTGCAAATAATTCAAAATATCTTTAATTCTACTTTGTTCTCAGTTTTAACAACTTTTAAAGCATATTTTTATTAAAAGTGTGTGTGTGTGTGTGTCTGTTTTTATCTTAGTGTGTGTGGTTTAATTTTTTTTAAAAACTCTTAGCTCTCCTCCGTCAGCTGTCAGACGCAGCAGCAGACATAAAACCTGAGAATGTGTGTCTGACGAGGACGCGTTTGTTGACTGTAATTATGTGGAAGGCAGAAATATGTTCGCTCTGATTTATTGATGTGAAATCTTCTCATGGAGACGCAGCAATTATCGCCTCACTTTCACTTTCATGACTTTTCTCTGACACAAACATAAACACCGTCAACAAACCTTCTTTTTATTGAACTGCTTTAAAAACGTCAACAGTTTTCTTCCTTTAACAAAATGGGTTTTCATTTATTTATTTATTTTCTTAAACGGCTCTATTTAATGTCTGGGTTTTAATGTGTCTCGCTTTTTTTTGTAAATAAACTTTACAATAATATATGTTATATATATAACATATATATAGTTGTAAATATATATGTGTATGTATACATGTATATATATACTGTATATTGTTATATTACGTCATGGATCTATGTTTGATTTACCTTTAGTACATCCCAGTGTCCGTGGGGTTCTAGAGGTTCAGTTATATTTGGACTAATTTTATTTAATTCACTGACTAAGTTTTAGCTTTATTATTATTATTATTATTGACTGTGTTGGTGTTTTTTTTTGTGGTCTTGGCTCCTTATGCTTAACTAGCCAAATGGACACTAGTTTGATCAACATCTTTTGGCTAATTATTAGTAAACGTTCAGTTATACTTTAACACATGGCAAATGGCACTAAGCTTCTCTCATCCAGCGTTTTTTTCCCCTAGCATATTTATGCAAATTGTCCCTCCCAACATTAGAGCTAACAGCAGTCATGTCCCTCTGGATTTGTACCTGAAGTGGGGCTGAGTGGAGAACATTTTCTGCTCCTGCCGAAGATGTTCCCTGTGGAAAAAATGTTGTTTTTTTTTTTCCTAAAGTTGGTTGTGTCTCCTGGTCTGTTATGTTTGGTCTGTCTGGTCGTGTGACACAGTGGCTGCAGTGCTGACACTCCACCATGATGAACGGAGGTGTTGGACCTAAGACATGGTCCTGTTAAACTGTCCAAACGTCTCCGTCTGTCCTCTGTTCTTGTCATTTTTATCCCCCGCTGTGTTTGTCATTGATCTGTCATCCTGATGAGAATCTTCTCTTCTGCCAATACTGTTGGTCTGGAACAGGGTCCAGGTGCGGCTCAGCAGGAGGTCCCACCTTCTCCACAGAACACTGGTGATTACAGGACCATTAGAGTAAACACTAACAGCTGAGCTGCATCTCAAAGATGGTCGCAATCACTCTGGCATTTATCTCCGTCCACCGCTGGAAACACTTTCTCTGTCAACATGTTCCTGCTCTAACAGCAGAAACAGGGATCGATTTGTAATGTCTGATGTCTCACTCCAGTGGCTCTGAGTTCTCAGGGAGGTCATTTATTTGAACCCAGTCTTTAACACAAATTTAATTCACTCATTCTTTTCCATTACAGTTGCCGTGGTTTAGAAGTACTTTTACAGTTTCTCTGTTAGTTTAGAACAAGGAAACATTTAAATAATGGTAAAATGCACTCTGCTAGATTCTGCTGGTTACTGTAACACTGCTGCTGTTACTGCTGCTGTTACTGATGCTGTTGTTACTGCTGCTGTTACTGCTGCTGTTGTTACTGCTGCTGTTACTGCTGTTGTTACTGATGCTGTTGTTACTGATGCTGTTACTGCTGCTGTTACTGCTGCTGCTGTTACTGGTGCTGTTACTGCTGCTGTTGTTACTGATGCTGTTACTGCTGCTGTTACTGCTGCTGTTGTTGATGCTGTTGTTACTGCTGCTGTTACTGCTGTTGTTACTGCTGCTGTTACTGCTGTTGTTACTGCTGCTGTTACTGCTGCTGCCCAATGACTATATGAAACTAATTGAGCTCAGGGCTGATGTGTGTGCATATGCGTCCGTGTGTGTGTGTGCGTACATGCGTGTGCACATGTGCCTACATTGATAATAATCCCTATAGCCGTGAGGAAAGACGTCTTCAAACACAAGGACGATGCTCATCCATCTGTTCTCTTCCTCCTCTTCATCTTCCTCTTCCTCCACCTCCTCCCACTCATCACCCTCCTCTTCCACCTCACCTCAACCTCTTTTCCCTCCTCCTTCTTCTCTGCTTCGTCCTTCTCATTGGTCCAGCCTTTACATCTTTTATGTTCTTGGTTGTGTTTTATTTAATTTAGGTTCTGCAGTCAGTCCTCAGACCATTAAAGAATTCATCACTATTCAATTTGATTGGATGATGTCATGTGAGTGTCTCTGGAATACTTAAATACAGTATACAGTTCAGTACAGCTCAGTACACTACACTGCAGTACAGTACAGTATCACAGTGACTGATGACATCAACTGTGGTACTAACGTTTTATTAGCCAAATTACCCATCTTCTTTTTCAAATGTTAATGAGTGAACCAGCAACCTTCTGTCAATATCTGACAGTAAACGTCTTCTTCTACTGGACTGAACTTACACCCCATGACCATCAGTGAATGTCTGCAGGGCAACATCAGCTGCTGCGTGTTGTTATAGGAAACATAACATTGGTGTTGTCAAAGATTAACCTTTACTGAGCAGTGACCGGGTCTTAACTCTTGACCTTACACTGCCCTCACCGAGGATCAGGATACTGTACACCACGCCTACAACACACAGCACAGTGGGTGGACGTCCATCTGAGGGTCAGAGCCTGTGGACCGGCTTTAAACGGCCTGTAGGTTTAAATGTGACCTTTGTGATAATGTGGTGACCTCTCTATCTTAGGGTTGACCCAGCCTACTGTTTCCATCCGTGGTAAACAGAAATCCAATAAAGTCTGCAGCAGTGGTCTTAAATTTCCTCACTCGCACATTTTTGTCTGCACACAGTTAGAATAATCACAAAATCTGCATGAAATATCTGCAGAGCAGGTAAAAGCCTGTGGTCAGCAGAAGGAGAAATGTGAGCGTTAGAAAGTACTGTGGCAGCAGGAGCGAACAGGAATCTCCTGGACCCAGTTGTGTCTGACGGTATGAGCTCATCCTGAAAGACATTAGCTGTAATTACAGCTTTGGTGTGTTTCCCACAGCTCGGTCTGTCACAGTGATTCATACATGATCTTTAAAAGTCACTCAGCTCAGAGAATGGGGTTACTTCTGTCTCACCTAGCTTTAACGCTAGGTGAAGTATTTAAAATTCAGAACAACATTTTTTTATTATTATTATTGACAACACATTTCAAAATTGCCTGAGGGTATTTTCCATGTCAGCCATGTGTGGAGTTTGTGAGTGAGATGTAGAAAATAAACTGCTGCCTGTTTTGTGCTGTTAGCTTGGTGGCTAAGATCAGGGCTTCCCAAACCTTTCCAGGCCAAGGACCCCCAAACTGGCTGGGGTCGCCCTTTGCAATCTCAACGACAATGCTATAAAATACATTAAAAAAAAAAATTGAAAATCATAAAAAAATCTGAAAATGTACTGATCCTTAAAATTCCCTCAATGATCGGTGTACTAATGGCCGGTCCCAGCCGATCGTTCCTTGGTAGAAAGAATGCTGGGAAGAAGCCACCGGTCCGTACTAATGGCCGGTCCCAGCCGACCGTTCCTTGGTAGAAAGAATGCTGGGAATCACTGGTATAGACTGTTTCTGTTTGTATACAGACTGGGTAGAACAGTTTGAGTTTTCTTCTTTCACCTTTCTCAAGAAACCCCCGCTTCCCTCTTCCTTTAGTTGGTTGTTGAATTTAATCGTCGTTCACTGTTTTCCTGGAGAGCAGAGTTTATATTTTTAATAACTGGGTTTCTTCAGAATTGTCCATCTCCACTCTGACGGTGTCTGAGCTGATCCACATCCAGTGATGCAGCTTCACTGCTGATCTGCTGCAGGTGCTTCACCTCCAGAATAAATGAATGTGAGGCGAGAACCTGGCATCTGTGGTCAGGAATCAGGGAGCGTCGCAAAATAATAAATAACACGGTGTTGTGCCGCGTGTCATGCATCCACAGTAGCCTGTTGTTCATTTTAGTTTTTTCCCCCTCGCTCATTACTCCGCTGAGTTCTGACCTCCTGCTCCTCCGGTTCCTCCTGCACCATGATGTAACCATGACCTCCTGACCTCCGTGTGCTCCCTAGTGTCCAGCATTTCTAGTGGTCTGTTAAAATGACTGTGGAGATTGGTTCCTTGGGATTATGTGTCTGCTGTGAAGATGTTGGTCCTGAAATCACTGAGCTGATATTAAAATGTGTTTCATTAAGAAGAGAATATTGTTAGAATGAAATGAGTGGAAAATGCTGCGTTCCCCCGCAACGGTCAGTTAGGTTTGAGGGATGAATAGAAATGAGGTTATTATTTTGTGGTTATCATTAATACAGAAGGTCCTTGACTTACCTCGAGTTTTGCACTCACGTACGCTAACACAGTGGTTCTCAAACTGTGGTACGCATGTGAGCGCTCTTTAGTAGTAAGTGGGGAAAATTCATATTTTCACATTTATATTTTCAACTGAATAAATCTGAAACATATCATGCACAATGATTACAACATTTAAACGTAAACATCTTTGTAAACCTCTTTCCTGTGGTGGAAGCTAACAGTGAATTCCTCTGCTGCTGTATTCTAATGTTGGTCATCATGGTGGTACTCAGAGAGATCAGTGATCTAGGACATAAAAACATCAGAAGAGTCTGACTGACACCTGGGAGCCAGAATGAAGGGCAAAAAGTTACCAACAAAAAACAAAAAACAACACAAACAAAGGAAAGTGAATGTAGCACAATCCAACGTATGACGTACAACCAGGAATGTAAAGAAAGTCGAACTAGTAGCCAACTTTTAACACTGTACGTCGGATGGAACAAGACTTTCTTAACGAATCGGAAACGGCAGCGTAACAACGAAAAGCCTGAGTTGAGGTCGCTTTAAACCCGTTTATTTCAGGTACAGTGACTTCATGACTGGTCGTGTTTGGTCTATTTCGATATTTTAACTTTACTTTTCACTTCTGTCTGAGATTTTTCAGCACTTTGTAATAACTGTGTGCAGTTCACAGACGAAAACACACGACAGAATCTTCCTTATTTTCCCCCAGCTTCTCGTTGTAATTTCAACCACTTCAGCCCTGAACCCTTGTTTTGTTGAGAGCCTGTGAACATCGGCGTCAGCTAAATGCTGGGTACGTTTATTGAAAAGAGCAAAGACCTGGCCGTTAGCTCTGAATACCTCATTTCTTTGGGCTCTGCTCCCTAACGTCTCCGTCATTTGCATTTGCTCCGAACACGACTCGGCTGATGTGGAGGCGCCGTTTCCTTTTGATAACCGGCCGAGCAGGAAAGGAGAAAATAACAGGGTGTTTTCAAATTGACACACGCAATCAGTGCGCTAAACTAAAGCGCAGTGCTTAAGCCATTCTTGTGCTGATTTGAAATTGTAAACAGCAGCACGCTGTGTCGAGTGTCTATAATCATAGGGACGATATAGAATATTCTGGCCTGTAGGCAGCGCCTCCTTCTCCAATTATGTTTCTCTTGGCTCCAGATTGAATCTATTACAGTGTAATTGCCTCCATATCTCCTGCTATCACCTGCAGCACTTCCACACATTATTCACATGTGTGGTGAGTAAATGTTTGCTGGAAATCAATGCTATTCTGAGGCTGCCGCTGGTGTGGGAGAGAGCGTGTCCTGATAGCACCGGAAAAGTGCTGAACAAACTGATTCCAGGACCATCTTATCAGGAGTTATTTGTGGAGAGAGTGAGTTTGTTTCCGTTTGAGGATTCATGGCATTGGTTTAAAATAAAAACAGAGGCTGGAAAAGTGGATGCAGTGGAAAGTTAAGGGAGTAATAATAGTTTTTCCAAACTGTTGAGATCGGGTGGATATAAGCTGTGAATGGAGTTCTCTGTTTGAAGCTGTGGGATGTCCACAGGTCCTTGGATGGTTTCAACAGAACCTTAGTCCATACAAGTGAAGCTACTGTGTTTACTGTGTTTTAAACTCAGGCCCGGGGGCCAAATCTGGTCCGCAATATAATAATATATGGCCCGCGAGATCAAATATGTACTAAAAAGGAACTGGAAAGGCTAGAGATAAAGAGACATAATAAGAAACAAACACCACTGATGTGTGTTTTATTACATTTTTTCATGCGTTTATAATATTTAGTTTTGATTTGGTTGATCCAGATTCAGTATTTACGCAAAACTAAAGTTTGGTTTCACATGAAGAACTTCTACATTACAGATCTGGAGAAAAGTGAAAACATGCACAATGGCTGTCAATTTTTCAATAAATATTAAATTTTGCCCATGACTTCATCCCAGTTTTTTAATTTTGGCCAACTGTGAATTTCAGTTTGACACCTCTGAGTTAGATCAATTGTCCTGATGATATGATGATCATATCAGGTGATATTGTTTCTCCCACGTTGGACCTTGGTATTTATTTTAGTAGGAGGATCAGTTGGAACTCCTGCTTGACAGCAAGAGAAGTCCCTGGTTCAATTCCCAGCTCTAACTGTTGGTCTTTATGTGTGGAGATGCAGATTAAGGATTAGGTTAATTGAACTAACCACAGGTGTTAATGTGATTTTGACTGGTTGTTGTCTCTGATGGACTGCAGCACTGTCCAGTTGAGGTCGAAGATGGATGAACGCATGAATGAATAAATCTATTGTAATCTGATCAGCTGTGTCAGCACTTCATCACAGCAGCACAGGAAAGATTGATTATTATTCAGTGGTTTGAATCAGGAAAACAGACACCGATAATTCACTGATGGTGAATTATAAATATATTAGTGTCTAATCAGGCAAAAAAAAAAAAACAACCCTGGAAAACATTTTCACAGTGTATTTTTATTTTTCAAAATATTTTTATTGAAAATTGTTCGTACTAAAAAACATCTCATTCAGTATGTTTTTGTTTATCAGGCTAAAACCAAACAGAAAAAAAATCTTTCCATTGATTGGTCAGCAGTCTAAGAGGACGCCTGAAGTTATTTTTCAGAACAGACCATCATGTGAATGAAGGTTATCTTAAAAGTCAACTAAAAATGTACACAAAAAAATGTTGTTTTTGTTCTATAAATGTGTCTGGTTTTTAACATTGGTGTCAGTCCAGAACATACAGTAGGTAATTGTAGTGTTTTCTCCACTGTCCTCTAAGCAGCTGCAGTGATGTGGAGTGAGCAGAGTTTTCTTCACTCCCCTCATTGAACCCGTGTCAGTATGAGTGTGTGTGATGTTTCACTGTGGAGAAACAACAGAGATGATGAAATCAGAGCTGCTCTGGAGCAGACTAGATTTATTTTCATAACAGAGCAGAAAGTGCGTGATCTGTGGGGGAAACAGCAGGTGAGATCACTCTTATATGAAACTGTCTTCATTTGCCCTGGATTTAAAAAATAGTCCGTTTTCACGACTGCCGGTTTGTTTCTATCACGTGTCCTTGTGATTAAGCTGCAGCTCAGACTCTGATCAGAGCCAAAGCACATGAAATAGCCGGGAGAATAAAAGCTTTTCAGAACAGAATGTGGGCACACACGCTGAAAGCTGCTTTTACACCACAGACTCTGAACACAAATAAAATACAGAGCAGTGTGTGTTATGTGTAAGACCAATCAGAGACACAGACTAGAGCAATGAGAATTGTGGAAAGGGTTAGGGTCAAGGCGAGCTCAATTAGATTGTTCAAAGCAATGATTCTCAACTGTTGGGTCGTGACCCAAATTATATCTCGGACCAGTATTCAGCGGATCATCAAAGAGAAAAAAGAAGAGGTGACTGAATAGAACTGTTTGTTCTGCATTTAATGAGTGGCTGCTTGGTTAAAGTTTCTTCTCAGTCTTTTCAAACTGTCTGTAAAAGGAACATTTTTACTCTTGGTTGTGGTTAATCATTTAAATTGTTTGTTGCTAACCTGTTTAGCAGATTGTGACATTGCCTTAACTAGTAGCTTTGAAAAGCCCTCTTAGACTGCTGACACTTCTATGAGAAGATTATTTCGCTACTTACACTGACCAACAACATAATTTGTGATTTTAATCTGATAAACAAAAACGTACTCAATTGGGTTTTTGAGGACGAACCTACATTGTCCAGTAAAAAAGATTTTCTGAAAAATAAAAAATACATTGAGCGTAAATTTAAAAACAACTGCAAAATAAATAAAATGTAAAAGTTCTCTTTTTCACAGTTTTTTTATCATAATTTTGTGCCGAGAGACGCTAAAATATTTCTCAGTGGCGCTAATGTATTTAGAATTCACGTATATACAGTGGCGCTAATGTATTTAGAATTCACTAGCGGTGAATTATCAGAGTCAGTTTCCTGATGGCCGAGGGCAGCTAACATTATCAATGTTGGTCAGATGCATCTGTGCATCTATAAAGAGTATAGAATTAAATGAACAGACATCTTTAAAATCTGTATGTTTTTTATGGAAATCAACATAAATGTTTGATCTTAGTGGGAAAAATCTCTTTTGTTCTTGGTGTATTATATGGAAATGTTGCTGTGAACAAAAAAAAAGGGAACTTTTGGTTTTAAAACTGTGGCTAATAATTTTTTAACTCCCTTCCCTCACTGCCGTCTGAGATCAGCCTTTAAAGCTCTTATTATTCAGCATTTAATGAAACACTACTTGATGTAGTTTTATTTCACTTCAGTTCCACACATAATTATGGCTGGGTTCTCTGTCCACAGCTGTTATCATTCTAATTATTTCTTTTGTTTCAGGTTTAAAGAGTCAGAAAATGCCCTCTTTAATCAGGTGAAGTGAAATAGTCCATATTTTAATAACGGTTTTCTGTGAAGACTTTAACCGATGGAGGCTCCTGTGATTAAAACAATAAAAGAACGTTGAAGTCAGGCAGTCACAGAGATCATTAACAGATCCGACTGATCCACAGGAACGCAGTCGCTTTCACGGTGTGAAAACTGATGGAAAATGTTCAACACCTTCAGGGCACATACACATCTGAGCAACTCAGTTTCCTCAGGAACTACAAGAAAGTGAGATGGCCGTGAGTTTGACCACTCAGATCAATGGTATGTTATAGAAGAAACAAACAAAGTGAATATGAAGAAAAAGACATGGAGTCAGAGTCAGCGGAGAGTAAATAATGGATGTGTGCTGGAGCTGCTTCTTCAGCAGCTTCACTAATGAGAGCATCCAGGGAGAAGGAGCAGTGTTGAGGAGGCACGTTCAGGAGCCCAGGTTCAAGCACAGTAAATTGATGCTGCCCCTCATCACCCAGAGGAGCAGGAGGAGCAGGAGGAGCCTTAACTTAATAATGTATTTATTTGAATGACATCACCTGGTGGTTCATCCACAGGTGATGTCATAAACGTCAAACCTCTGCATCCTGATGGCGTTGGTCAAGATGGAGGTCCGAGAATCAAAGAAGAGCACAGTGATAATCTGATCTCCCCCATGTCATCCAGAAGAATATTGTATTATAATATTGTGTCCAGCAGCAGATATAGATATGTTTATTTCTAAGTCAGTCGATCTACGGTCAGACACAAAGGTGAAAACACCGAGTGAGCTTAAAGGGAGAAGTTCCACCTTTTGTTGTGTCTGGAACAAAACATATATTTCTCTCTTTTACCTGGCTGTGTGACTTTGACAGATGTGGGAGGTGTCAGAGTCAGGGTCAAAGTCAGAGTTAGACCGTGGACAGTGTCTCCAACAGAAGATCACATCAGGTTCACTTTGTCTGAGCTGACCTTCCTCCTCCTGATGTTCACGGACCATTTCATCTGTAATGCAGCTCTGACTCACCTCTCTCTCTCTCTCTCTCTCTCTCTCTCCCTCACCCACTCCTCTAAATGGATTATAGACATGTCAACCTTGAACAGCACCAGGAGTTAAAAGTGTCAGGTTCGAACAAAGACGTCCTGTAATTACAGGATCAAAGGTTCGATTCCCATAGGAGCCTTTTTTTTTAAATCCGAGCGTCCTCCACAATCATTCCATCACTGTGAGAACAGTCCTTTAGCCCAGACTGTTCATGAGCAGTTATGAAATATTTGAGGAGGAACAAATCAACTTTACACTTCACTCTTTCTCCACAGGTGAGTCATCACCCCAGGCCTTATACAACAGACAGCAGGAACTGGAGCAACACTTTTCTTCCATCTTTGAGAGACTTTCTTTCGTAGACGGAGGAGAAGGGACCCCAACATCAGACATCAGCATCAAAATACATGTAAGTATATGAATGTAGTACTGCTAATGTTGACCTAAAACAAAACAAAATGCAACTGTTTCTCTCCAGACTTTAATCACAGACAAAAAACGAAATTCTTGAATCCGTTCAGGTTTGTGTCTCGGCACAGTTTTCCATCACTTCACCTTTCCTACTAAGAACAGTATTCTGCAAATAATGATGCATTTGAGAGAGAGAGTAAAAAAAACAGCAGAAGAGAAGAGAGCCTCATTACTGGATACTGCGAAATCACAAGTAACAGAATTAGTCAAATAAAAACTGGGGAGGAAGTATTTTTCTTTAAAACAAACAAATGAGAAGGAAACATTTTCTACAGCTGAACCTCACTCTGCACTTCAGACAAACCTGTGGTAATAATTAAGTGATGGAGTATCAATTTCATGGTATCGATATATATCAATATTCACATGAGTATCGACTGCGTATAAATGAGTCATAAAGTACTGATAATGATTGATAAATGATAAAAGCTCATGTCACTTACATACAGGCCTTTGTGCTGCACCCCCCCCCCCCCAACGGCAAATTGAACTGATCCATTCATGTCACATGACCAGAAGAGAGCGGTGACTCCATGCTCCAAGTCCACTAGACGTCTTTGTCAGTACAATGGTAGCAATTAAACTATTTTGTTCACATTATAGTTCAGATTATAGTAAGATCTAATTTTCTTTGACTAATGCTGTGACAAATACATGTTAACGTTGTTACATGGCCAGTATTTGACATGTGTTTCATTGGGTTAAAAGAAGAAAAACACAAAGTTTTGACACCTGAAACCAAAAAATAAAAACAAAAGATAATAAGGAATCTTATTGGTTAAAAAATTCTGGTATGGATCACACACACACACACACACACACACACAGGCTGGAATCAGCAGCTCAGCACAGCCGAGGTGAAAAGCCTGTAAATCTGATTTACTCTCTCCTCTCTCCCCTCCCCACACTGACACAGGTGAACAACTGTGAATCCTTATTAGTGAAACCCACTTCCTGCACCTCCTCACCTCTGTTCACCTCCTGCCCAAAATCCTTCCCTCCTCCTCCTCTCATACCCTTGAGGAGCTGAGGTGGTCAGTTTCCTGTTTCTTTCGCCTCCAGTCATGCGAGGCTGCCCCGGGTGTCTGTGGTCGTCCCTGGGTTCTAAATCACAGACGGAGGCGGGCGCCCAGCCGTGGCGGTGACTCGTTTTATGATGTTCTGTAAGAACCGGGGTCACTGAGAGGAATGAAATGTACGGCCTCTGAGACGTCCTGGATCTTCTGCCGGGTCAGAAGGTCCGGTTTGTTCTCCGCTGCCACTCATTTATTTCCATCTGAGTGGAGTGTGGCTGAAAAACTCATTAGGCTGCAGCCCTGCCGACGTGAGTGTGTGTTCTACGCCTCCTGCCTCCTCCTGCTCCGTTATCACGCCGTGACACTTTCCATTTGCAGGTGTTAGATGCTGCTGCGTCGTCTCTCTTTTCTCTCACACTCTTTTTACTCTTTAGCTGTTTGAAAACATGACACCGAGTGTCGCCGACTGCTGATTTGTAATTTTCATGCAGCACCAGTAAATGGCTGACGGTAAAAAGAGAAGGTGAGCTGCGATGGATTGAACTGCAATGCAGCAAAAATCATTTTAGGAGGAAACTGTGGAACACAGACAGACCGCCATGAAAACAGAGGAATCCAGTGTTTGTAGGAAGAACACAGCTGTTAACATGACAAAAGGCCCCTAAAGTGTAAATGTAGAATGTTGTGAATGTGCAATTGTAGATATTTATATAAATATATGAGTGTAAAACTGTGTGTGTGTGTGTGTGCGCTCATTGTATCACTGGTGCTGCTGTAAATCTGAGTGCAACACAAACTCTTCACAGCAGGAAACTAAGATCAGTGTTGAGCTCAGTCACAGCAGGAGGAGGTGTGAGTGTGTGTTCATTCAGCCACTCACACAGTCCTGCACTCACACTGTTCTGTTGAGCAGACGAAGATGCACAGAAAAAAACAGAACAACAAACTCTACAGTTCTATTTTACCACAAGTCAGATAACGCCCAGATTTAATAGTGAATCTGATTATCAGTAATGTGATCTGCTGTCAAACAAACACACTGACACGAGGTTTTTAACTGTCAATACTTTGAAATGTTTTTGAAAAATAGTTACAAAGTTAGTCTAGTCCTAACCACAACAGTCCAGGCCAGTGAGCAAGGCAGGAGTGCACTTGGTGCTTTAGCCTGACATGGAGCAGCTGGCCCTGGTGTGTTCAGGCCCTGAGGTAAAGGTTACAGTTGGTGAAGAGTGAACTACTGATACTACTCCAGGGGGTTAGCTTTTTGAATGATAGATAATCGTTTGTCTCTTCTGGTCTTGAAGATCGTTCTCTACAGGTTTTCCATCTCAGTGGACCAGTCCTTTAATCTGCACATTGGAGGAAAACTGACCCTCCCAGTGACACACACGATCCATCCACCAGTGACAGGAAACATCCAGGTCTGTCTGAGAAGCAATTCTACACATTTTGTTCATCCTCTGTACTTAATGGATTTCAAAGTCTTTAAAGAGAATCTTTAATACATGAATGATAATAATAATTGTGAGCTATGAGCTCAGCCGCTTGGAAACATCAGAGCTAAAACATTTCCGTTGCCTGTGAGCAGACGGATGACGTTAAGATGCTAAATAAAAATAAAGCTGTCTCCTTCCGCTCGACGCTCAGATATTTATATATTGTACATATTATATTAACAGTAAAGTAAATTTAGCTGACGGTGTTTGATAAAGACAGAAACTAATCACCAGTTACAGTCTGTAGCTGCAGCGTAACTACAACAACAGAAATAAACAACAGATGGATGTGGATGAGTGTGGTGTCAGGTGGTGAGAGGCTCGTGATCCATAAACCTGTGCTTGGCTGAAGAGCATTATCATTACCTATGTACCTCTACAGGTCCACAGCCCAGTGGTTGGAGACCTCAGGTGTATAAACCTCTGACCGGTTTAGACTCATTATTATTCACATCATCCCTCAGCCTTTAAGAACTAATCCCAGAACTGTGGTTGAAACCCCGGACCCACAGGGCACCGTGGGCTCCTTCAGTCCATTACACACTGTGCAGGGGCAGGAATAGCTTTTAATCCAGTATCCCTGCAGAGATGGAGAACCTCCAACTCCAACTGTGACGATTATCTAAAGGCAGGCTCACTTCACCAGCTCATTCTCCCAAAATGCACCTGTTTTACAGTGTGAATGATTGTCATGAGTGAGATAACCAGCCAGGTGTTTTCTCCAGCCTCCAGCTCTGAAGCTCTCTCTCCTTTACTGTAGGAGTTCTATCCATGGACTCTTTCTTTTCTTCTTTCAGCATAAGATTTTGAGGCACCTGCTCAGAAACAGATGGAGATGAATATTCTGGTTCAGTGAACCAGCCTGAAAAGCAAATCATCAATTCAGGTCCGCATGAACAAATATGGAGCCGTGAGACAAAAGTTAGTGGAAACAAATACTAACCAAATTTAGTAAATATTGCATCGTTTTGTCTGAACATAATTCCCTGTCGACCACTCCAAAAGAATTAGGAATTCATCCTGACCATGGTTTGCCTCGAGGCACTTCTTCACTTTCCAATATATGAACAAAAAAGGAATCCTTGTTGATGCTGTTTAAACATGAAAGGTGTTTATTTATCTCAGGAAAGGAAGATGGTATCCTTCATCATCCGTCAGAGCGTGTTAAAGGTTAAAGAAGAGATGAGACAGGAGTTTGGCAAACATGTGAGCAGGTAGGGCTGGAGCACAGCTGTGGTTTCAGTCACGTCCTCATTAAAACCAACAGCTTCATCATCAAACAGCTGCCTCTAAATGAGCTGCTTTTACTTTTAATGTCCTTCACGGAACACACACACACACACACAGAGAGAGAGAGAGAGCGAGAGAGAGCGAGCGAGCGAGCGACACCTCTGCCACTCACTGATAGTCAGGTCGACGATTCTTTAACTGTGAACACTTTGAGCTTCTGGAAGTTTCTTATTAGGTCCATAAGTCACAGCGGAAGAAAGTGAGTGTGTGTCACATCTGCAGGCTTTTTAATTGATGACGCCAATCTCAGTGCGGTGTCAGCGCATACTCACACACACGTACTCACACACACACAGATCCCTGTTCTGCAGACATAGACATCTTGGTCAAGGAGAGTCCAGGGCTCTGGTACGACTCCATGTTTCATGACTTACCTTTAGAGTCCAGCCAGTGCAGCAGACAAACATCTGAAGCTGCTCCTCATCACCACCACAGCTCGAACGACAACAAACTGTAGGAAAAGTCACTTTTCAGCATCTGCGCTCCATCAACGACCAGTGAGTCTATGCGTCAAAAACACCTTGACTGTAAATCCCACGGCACAGCTCCTGGAAACATGTCAGAACAGACAGGAGATGAACTTGTTGGCTCTGCCTCTGCGGTGCTCGGTGTATATCTGTGGGTTTTCACGCTCTTTGAGTGTTTTTGTGCTGTTTGCACCAGTGGTGACAACCCTCTCCCTGGCTGGGCAGGTGTAGATTCTCTGTGAACCGTCACATAGTTTTCCAGGACTGGTTGTTGCAGTCACATGGGCTGGCTATCGACCTGCCAGCTAGTACATCAGACCTGGCAAAACGCCCTGGTACTCACCACTGCCACTCATGGCTCTCAAAGACCAGTGAGTCCCCTTCGACACCGCTGCACTCAGACAGCTGGACCTCCTCTGACAACCTCACTACACCCTCAGAGGGTCTCGCAGTAAATTTGTTCACACCAGAAATGGCAGCTCCGTCCAATCATTCTGGTCAGTGACAGGATGGCATTAACATCTGACAAGTCATCAGAGCGAGGCCAGGGCTAGGACCTCTAGAAGATATGGAACGACAGTGGAGGAGGTGCAGTGGAACACCAGGAGTGGATCAGTAGCCTCAGTAGAGAAACCAGAGTGAAAACCCAGAATGGATCTGAAAATTCTCCATCCTTTTGGCAAACCTGCTACCACTTCACCCATTAAACTAGAATTACGTAACACCCAATCTCTGACAAATAAGTCATACTAGATTTATACTTGGTGTTGAATGAGTCCTGCTGATGGAGGAGGAAGGCTGTAGTGGGTGTTTGGCTGCCATCCATCACTCTGCCCTCCAACAAGTCCCTGTATCTCATCAGGCCCCACTGTGCCCTTATTGGACTGCTTAGCATTTAAATGTAAACATCCTCTCCCAGTGACACTACTTTTACCAGCAACCAAAACCTCCACACCAGCTTTTCATGTCAGACATGTAAATGACCTACTCATGTCACCCCGCCCTCTTGGAGATTTAAATATACACATGGACGTGATTTAAGTCTCACATGAGAGAACCCACACGCCCTCCACATCTGCTCATTACTGACTCCGTTCCTATGGAGAATGTCCAAGTATATGATATGGGTGTCTCACAAGGTCATAGACTTAACACGGCTGGGCTGTTCTCCAAACTACAACGTCACTGTCCAAATCAATCCTGTTGCTCTTTCCAATGACCTGGACAACCTGTGCTCTCAATTTCCGTCTGCTGATGAATGTGTGGAATACTACGACAACACACTTGGTGTGGGTTTTAGACGATCCTGCCCCCCTGAGGACAAAAACACTTTAAATTATAAATTAGTTGCACAAAATACTTCTAGGCCATCAAACTCACGCCATTGACACCATTGACTTGAATTCCAATAGTTCCAATAGTTCCAATAGTTCCAATAGTTCCAGTCTGTCCTCAGTGGTAGAGCTGAGTATGCTAAGTTATGCAGATGATACTCAGCCTTACTTCCGTGGAGTCAAATCTGACCTCCACCTATCATTTGAGCACTACTATTGAGAACCTGATAACGTGTGTATTTTTATCTGTACAAACTACCATATGAGATGCTGCCACCTAGTGACTGGAGGCTTGTTATCATTCAAGCATTACAGCAGTGGTACACCTCTGTGCCCTCCTCATCCAGCCCTCTGGCAGGAGCATCCAAAACCTCCAGCACAGTTCAGAAGAGAAATGCCAACGTCCTTTTGAGGAGGCGCAAATATGATCAGGTCACCTGGATCCTCCTGTCCTTCCACTGACTCCCCACCCAGTTCAGAATCTGTCCTTCGATCTTTCAGTGTCTACATGGCAGTGTCCCGACTTCCTGACTGAACTCACCTCACACAACAACCAGACAGTTTTGGACCACACACGCTCACCTCCTCCTTCTCCCCAAGACTAAACTCCCCACCATGTAAGACAGGGCGTTCTAAAGCACTGCCCCAAGGCTGTGGAACTCCCTTCCTGTTCACCTCAGGCATCACAGACTGTGGGGTCTTTCAAACAGCGTCTTGAAACATTTTTTTTTTTTCAAAGAGCTTTAAGTATTTAGCGCTTCACGTATGGCTTACCCCTTGGGTTCATTCATGTTGTTTTGTTTTTATCTCACTGTTTTATTGTTATTATTATCATAATTATATTTAAAGAGATGTTGTTGTCTGTGCTGCTTCAAAAGATTTCATTCTGGACGGAACTGGTTAAAGTCCATCCAGCTGCAGCTTTTATAATTAAAGATAAAAGTCAGAGAACTTTCCAGAAAACTTCTCCTCCTCCGATCACTTCCTGCAGCAGCATCATTACTCACACACCTCTATTCTCTTCTCAGCAGAGAGGAACAGGAACCAGCAGCGTCCAATCTCTGCTCCACTTTACCTCCTGCCTCCGTCAGCACCTCCTCCTCTTCACTCCACTGCTCACAATTAACACAGCTTAACAGCCCTTATAAATGGATTCTGGGAATAATAATGAAGAGGGAGGACTGCTCCTCGGCAGACCTCCTGCTCAGACCTCCTGCTCAGACCTCCTGCTCAGACTTTCCACTCCTGCTAAAACTTCCCGCTCCTGTTCAGACTTCCTGGTTAGACCTCCTGCTCAGCCTTCCATCGCCTACTCAGACCTCCTGCTCCTGGTCAAGGTTTCCACTCAGACCTCCTGTTCTCACAGAGCAGACTGTAGCAAAGGACAGCGCTGATTAGTCCTGGCATTCACTTCAATCAGACGGCTGTTATGATGATTGCTTTTCAACAACGATGGTGAAAGTGGAGTTGGAGTCATAAATGAACAAGACTTAAAATGACCTTAAAAAAATCCTTAAAGGAACCTGAAAGTGAAAAGTCCAAACTGCAGAGGAAAGAAACATCTGACCTCTGAGTGACTTTGAGAGTGAAATGTTTAACCTGACGGTTAAGAGGCTTGAAGATGAAACGTTCTCTGCTGGAACCCAGGAATGAGTTCTCTATGAGAAAAAAGATCAATTATAAATGCTCAGACTTTGGAGCAGTCGTGGTTGAGGCTGAAAATATTCCTGCTTGTTCAACTGGTATGGATGGTTGTACTGAGGAAAGAAAGAAACGATAATAAACATAAACATGAACATTTATTTTATTAATGATCATTTTATTTAGCAACTCCTAAATCAGGCAAAGAAAAATCTTTGAAAAAGGATGATGATGAATTTGTCCATTAAAGTGTCTTAAATCAGAGGAAAGTCATGTTGAACTATCGACCGTGTTTGGTGTTTCGGAGCATCAGCAGCTCAGTTAGCATTAACGAATTCCAACAGTGGGGTCAAGTGCTGCCTCATGTGGTCAGTTTGTGTCACTGAGGTAAATCTAAAAAATGGATTTCAAGAAGGACATTTATAAAACAACGTTTTAGTCGTTTAGTCGTTCCTCCTTTTCTGACCTGTTACTTCTGCTTCCACACTGATCCGTTCAGTTACTATTTTCTGCTCCTGTTCAGGATGTTAATGGTGCGTGCATGTGTTTGCGTGTGTGAGTGTGTGTGGGTGTGTGTGTATCAGCAGCTTTCATTTTAACAACATTCTGTTTCAGCTCCATTAAATCCAATAAAGCAGGAACTTAATGATCCATCATCATTAATTCTTACTATTTTTAAACTGTTCAGCTGATGAAGGTCGGAGGTTCTACTCCAACATCTGCAGCAGCAGCAGCAGCAGCAGCACTCAGAACGGTTCTGCTGCTGCTGCTGGTCCTGCTGCAGTGTGTAGGCGTCCCAGTGATGATGGGCTGATGGTTGTGGGAGTTCGATGAAGGTGTTTTTCTTAATGACAGTGTGAAACATCTGCTTCTGTCACTGGTCATTTTATCCCTGATATTTTCAAGCCTTTTCCCTCCGAAAACATTTAGTCGCTTTTGCTTGTGTTGCACTGTTGTGCTCTTTTGTTTAGTTTGCTGTGTAGCAAAAGTGCAGATTTCTTTTAACCTCTGTCAGCTGTTTTTTTCCTGAACCATTTTCTTATTTGTTTTGCATATTTAACATTTTCTATAAGATTATTATCATTATTTAGCTTTCCTTTTTCTGACTCTGATTCTAGGATGTAACCCTGACCTGTCCTTTACTCCTTAACCCATGCAGTCCTGCAGCCCTCAAGGTTACACTGGCGGCACTAAATTGGGCCACTGTCCTGTGGTGAAGAATCACTGTTTTATGTACTGTCACAACACACTGAAAATACCTTTGCATGTATTTCAACTAGGTTTAATAACTTTAAGTCAGTAATTCAGTGGACGGACAAGAAGCCTGGTCCATTACAGCCCAGAGCAATGAACAGTAAACGTACACAAATACTGGTAGTACTGCTGTTGTCCTATAGAGGCGTCTTTCATCGACGAGTGTTTTCTGTTTCTGTATTAGTTGGTTTTAGACACTGAGTGTTTGACTTTAGTTGGTCATGATTAGTTGTCATGTTGTTACAAGGTGCAGGCAGTGCACTGGTGAACTTTACTTTTTTTTTTTAAGTTTACTTTTTTTGCTGACTAAACTCTGCTGCTCCTCTCTGTCCTCCTGCTGCTCCTCTCTGTCCTCCTGCTGCTCCTCTCTGTCCTCCTGCTGCTCCTCTCTGTCCTCCTGCTGCTCCTCTCTGTCCTCCTGCTGCTCCTCTCTGTCCTCCTGCTGCTCCTCTCTGTCCTCCTGCTGCTCCTCTCTGTCCTCCTGCTGCTCCTCTCTGTCCTCCTGCTGCTCCTCTCTGTCCTCCTGCTGCTCCTCTCTGTCCTCCTGCTGCTCCTCTCTGTCCTCCTGCTGCTCCTCTCTGTCCTCCTGCTGCTCCTCTCTGTCCTCCTGCTGCTCCTCTCTGTCCTCCTGCTGCTCCTCTCTGTCCTCCTGCTGCTCCTCTCTGTCCTCCTGCTGCTCCTCTCTGTCCTCCTGCTGCTCCTCTCTGTCCTCCTGCTGCTCCTCTCTGTCCTCCTGCTGCTCCTCTCTGTCCTCCTGCTGCTCCTCTCTGTCCTCCTGCTGCTCCTCTCTGTCCTCCTGCTGCTCCTCTCTGTCCTCCTGCTGCTCCTCTCTGTCC